GAGTTCTCATTAAACTTTCATTAAACTTTCGTTTTATTTCACGAATCGACATTAATTGACAATAATCATTTCAAAAGTTTTCAAGTATACATTTATTTTGGATCGAAATATATTCGAACACTTTTACATATTAATTTAATTTTTATGTCTTAGCTAAACGACGTTGAAGATTGTTTGAAAAGTAATGAATCGGAAGAAGAGAAGACCAATTATTTTCCGAATTGTGATTCGTCCGTATGGATGAGATCTTGCAAAAATGAAGTGATAGAACCGATTTCTGGTAAGATAACAGGAAAAATACCACATTGGTTGAAAGGAACTTTGCTAAGAAATGGACCAGGTAGCTTACAAGTCGGAGAATATACTTTCAATCATCTGTTCGATAGTTCAGCTTTATTGCATCGGTATGTTTTTATAATAGAATACAATTAAAACTTATAGAATATTTAAAAAATTTAATCTTTGAAAATTGAAATTAACTATTCGAAATAATTTTTTACTTAACTATATAACATATAACTTTCGTATGTAACCCAGACCTTGAATCAAATTCCTCGCAATGAAACTAATGAAACAATAATAGCTTAAGTAGTTTCCAGAAACCTTATATTACATTTATAAAGACCATGAACGCAAATATGAAACCTCGAATAAAATTGACTAATTTAATTTTAACTTTTTTATATTTTTATATTTTTTCAAAACGATAGATTTGCAATTGCTAACGGAGAAGTAACCTATCAATGCAGATTCGTTCAGACGGACGTATATAAAAAGAACAATGCTGCTCAAAGGATAGTAGTTACTGAATTTGGCACCAAAGCAGTACCAGATCCTTGCAGAAATATTTTTCAAAAGTATCGAATGATATGAGACATTAATACATTAATAAATAAAAATCAATGGAATATCAATGAAATTTTCTTTCAGAGTCGCAGCTGTATTCAAACCCGAGAATGATTCTGATAATTCTATGATATCCGTATATCCCTTTTGCGATGAGTATTATACGTTTACGGAGTCGGCAGTGATTCATCGTATCGACCCGAAAACATTGGAAACTACAGGCAAGGTATTGACTTTTATTATTAATGTTGCTTTATATTCGTTACTTTACTAATTATATCGATAATTGTTTCATGTTTATAATTGTTTCGAATAAATAAATTCATTAATTTTCTAATCTCACGTAAATATAATAATCTCATAAAATAAATTGTATAGAATAATTTTTTAATTATGCAAATATAGGTGAATGTGTCTGATTATGTTGGAATCGTAAATCACACGTCTCATCCTCACGTAATGAACGATGGTACCGTTTATAATTTAGGATTGAGCGTGACATCACGAGGACCGCAATACAATATCATATGCTTTTCGCCCAATCAAATTATCATTGGTTAGCATTTGAATTTGCAATTTAATTATTCATCGAAATGTTTCGAGTATTTTATATTAAATATCTTTTTCAGATGACTCAGGTGAAGAAAAAGAATTATCCATGTTTGATCAAGCTACCATTATTGCCAGTGTTCCGTCACGATGGTTGTTGAATCCTTCTTACATGCATACCTTTGGCATCACTGAAAATTATTTCATCATCGTAGAACAACCATTGTCGGTATCTCTGACCACTATAGTATCTTGCAAAATGAAACAACAACCGATGTGTGCAGCTTTAAAGTGGTATGAGAATGAAAATGTAAGTCTGTCCAGGATTTTTTCTTTTTTCTTTTTCATTTCCAACAAATGTGTTAACAAATATATTTTCCTTTTACCACAGACTCTCATACATTTGATTTCGAGAGAGACAGGATTATTAGAGAGGACGTTTATTTCAGAGGCATTTTTTTACCTTCATATCATAAATCAATTTGAAACACGTGATCGTGATTACGTGGTACTGGATATTTGCTGCTATCGCGATGCAAAAATGTTAGACTGCCTATTCGTAGATGCGATGAAGGTAATACGTTATTATTTAATTAAATTATTATTAAAATTAAAATATGATTGAAAGTTGAATCGGTACAATCGGTATTTTTCAATTATTTCAGAATTTGCATAAGAATCCTGATTATGCCAAAATGTTTCGTGGCAGACCTTTGCGATTCATTTTACCAATGAAACATCCACAGCCGGACGTACCATTGGAATATAATTTGATTACTGCAAAAACAGTGAACCAAGGTCTGGAGTCATTCCAAAATGACTCTGACGTCACGTGTCAGAATAAATCTGGGTCAGAGTTGGTTAAAACATCGATAAATGATCCTAACAAAGACAAAAGGAACGATTATCAGAATATTCTGAAGCGAAGAGCAACTGCTCATAAACTTGCGAATGGTGATATTTTTGTGAAACCGGAACTTCTTTGCGATTTAGGCTGTGAAACGCCACGTCTCAACTACGACTCCTATCTTGGAAGGGAGTATCGATATTTTTATGCCATTTCTAGTGACGTGGACTTAGAAAATCCTGGAACGGTAATTACTCTCTAATTTTAATCTTCGTATAAGTTTTAACAAATTGCGATTGAAATGCAAAATACGTATATACTATTTTATTATAGATTATCAAGGTGGATATCTTGGAGAAAACGAGAAAAACTTGGTGCGAGAAAAATGTTTATCCGAGTGAACCGGTTTTCGTACCGGATCCTAATGGCAAGGTAAGGGATCTCGTGACTTGAATCTTTGAAATCTCGTTTCTATTGAGCTTGAAAGCACAAATAAGCGTAAAAGAAAGGAGAGGAAAATACCAAACGTATTAATTTCATGCCTATCCGGTTTAACGAATTTATTTTCAGAACGAAGACGACGGCGTGGTTCTTTGCTCTATTGTTTGGTCTGATAAAGAGACACGCGTTGGATTGCTGATTCTAGACAGCGTGACTCTTAGGGAAATCGCTAGAGCCATCTTTGAGACTTCTGGCCCGGTGCCAAAGTGCTTACATGGCTGGTTTACCTTGGACAAGTAAAATAAACTGGGACTAAGAGACGGATATCGGATCTTTGGTTCATCGATGGAAATGAAATATCGATCTGGATGTTATGCGATATGTATTATATCAAATTGTCGATATATTTTTATTATATAATATCTATATTTTTCAATTCCATTTTGTTGGCTTGATTATTGTCTCGTTAGTAGCTTCGGAATTAAAAACATTGCTCTACGAACGATTCTTTTAGCAATGAAATTGCGATATTAAGAAAAATATATGTTATATGTTTATATAATATATATATATGTATATATTAACTGCACAATATGTATACAATATAATAAATTATTTAATGTTTTCTCCCGATTGTACAGTGTAATTCATATTTGGCGATTAATGTGTCATAAAGCTTCGATGACATGTAACGCAATAAATTTACAATAAAATGGGATGCAGTCGTGAGAATATTTGTCAGATGGAATGTAAAATGCCCTACGAACTTTGTCCTTAAATTAATATTCGCGGATTTTTCGTATTGATTGGAGCGGATACATAAGTTTCTGGTCCTAGATACTTATCATAACGATTAATTAAGATATCATTTTAAATTATGCTACGTTGTCATTAAAATATTCTATTATTATAAACGCCATGTCGCCTCGTCGGATGTTCGATCAGCTAAAACAAAGTTCCGGTAAAGCAATCTAAATTAGACGGATCTTTGCGAAGTTTCGATTCAAACGACAGAATAACAAGACAGATTAGTGTTAATCTCTCTTCCATAAAATAAAAGTTGTACAATATGCCGTTCTAAAATTCAATCAAATTTCACAAAGATCCAGCTGAGAATATTCTTGCGAATGGATTCAACATGACCTAATAAGTTTTTACGTACTTACAGAATTAATAATAATCATTATAATTAAAATAAATAGGGTTGGCACAACCATAGTCATAAAATTAAATTACACTAGATTAAAAGAGCATTCAACGCGAGCCCCGAATCCGCGAATCTTTTCTTAAATAATAAACTCGAGATAAATCACCCTTGTCGCGGCAGGATACGTCGCGTTCCTTACAACATTACAATACATTAACGATCACGTTTGTAACGACTCGCGTTGCTCGCCATTAAACAGTCACACGATTCACAGCATATATATTTTTAAAAGACGAAGCCACTCATCGGGTATCCACCGAAGCACCACGTTTAAATACAGAGTTCTCGAGAAGCTTCGACATTTTAGCACAGCGTGATAAGCGTCCACGCGCCATTGGAAAGGAGAATGTTCCTCTGAGGATTGATATCACCGAGTCAAAGAGTCGCCATTGACAAATCACAACCATTCATTTACAGATACGCACGTGGTAACTTTCATTCTCTTTTTTTCTCTATTATTATACTATACTACCTTATTCTACGTGACTATAAAATACGAAGAGGAAATCGCGCACGTGAAAAAAGAAAATCTAGCTAATAGGAGCGGAAAAAAAAAAAAAAAGAACAAGAAAACTCGACAGACCCTGATACGATATTTCGTGGTAACGAGAGCTCCCTTCTGCGCGCAAAGGAAAATCACAAGCAACATGCCAAATTTGTTTACCAATTTCCAAGTTTTTTAACACACGATGACACGTTAAAAAAAAAATGCGCGTCACATGATAAGAAGAAACGATTCGTTCTGCAAGATAATCTTGTCCTGAGATTAAGTAC